CTGTCACCACGGACGCTACGCCTATCACCACCGAAGAGGCTACCCCTATCACCACCGAGGAGGTTACCCCTATCACCACCGAAGCTACCCCTGTCACCACTGAGGAAGCTACACCTATTACCACCGAGGCTGTGCCGAACATCAGCACTCCCTGCCCTTCCAACCTTACGCCCAAGCCTGTCCTCACGGACGCTACCCCTATCACCACCGAAGAGGCTACTCCAATTACCACCGAAGCTACCCCTGTCACCACTGAGGAAGCTACCCCTATCACCACCGAAGCTACCCCTGTCACCACTGAGGAAGCTACACCTATTACCACCGAGGCTGTGCCGAACATCAGCACTCCCTGCCCTTCCAACCTTACGCCCAAGCCTGTCCTCACGGACGCTACCCCTATCACCACCGAAGAGGCTACTCCAATTACCACCGAAGCTACCCCTGTCACCACTGAGGAAGCTACCCCTATCACCACCGAGGAGGCTACCCCTATCACCACCGAGGAGGCTACCCCTGTCACCACTGAGGAGGCTACCCCTGTCACCACCGAGGCTGTACCGGACATCAGCACTCCTTGCCCTTCCAACGTCACGCCTAAGCCTGTCATCACGGAGGCTACCCCTATCACCACCGAAGCTACCCCTATCACCACTGAGGAGGCTACACCTATCACCACCGAGGAGGCTACCCCTATTACCACTGAGGAGGCTACCCCTGTCACCACTGAGGAGGCTACACCTATCACCACCGAGGCTGTGCCGGACATCAGCACTCCTTGCCCTTCCAACGTCACGCCCAAGCCTGTCACCACTGAGGAAGCTACCCCTATCACCACTGAAGCTACCCCTGTCACCACTGAGGAGGCTACCCCTATCACCACTGAGGAGGCTACCCCTATCACCACCGAATCTACCCCTGTCACCACTGAGGAGGCTACACCTATCACCACCGAGGCTGTGCCGGACATCAGCACTCCTTGCCCTTCCAACGTCACGCCCAAGCCTGTCACCACTGAGGAAGCTACCCCTATCACCACTGAAGCTACCCCTGTCACCACTGAGGAGGCTACCCCTATCACCACTGAGGAGGCTACCCCTATCACCACCGAATCTACCCCTGTCACCACTGAGGAGGCTACACCTATCACCACCGAGGCT